AAAAAAAAAAAAATTATCTCTCTGGAGCGTTGTGTTTTATTGGGGGAAATTAATCTCTGCAGTGACTGTGTCAAAGTCCTCCAGATTTGAATACTGAGCTATAAGGAGAAAAGGATCTCTAGATCGGCGTTATGAGAGTGTGGCACGTGGGTGGATAAATATGGGCATATTTGTGCATAAATACACAGAAGGAGAGAAAAAGACAGAGGAGGAGGAGGTATTTCAGGAAGGACCTCRCTTTGTTATCAGATAATTCCTGGGTCAGCCCCTTGAAATTGCTGCCAAAGCTTTGTAGCTTTTCCAGAGCTTGCAACACGCTCGGGGATGGGTCCAAGGGAAGGAGAGCTYGCCTTGGGAGCGGGAGCATCCCGAGGGATTGCTGCTGGCATCCAGCTCCTGGCACTTYTCTGCAAGCAGCAGCTTTGCAGGGTCTCTGTTCCCAGCCCCAAGCCCCATTTTGGGCCGGTCACAGCTATTTCTGTGGCTGAGCAAGGAGAGCCAGGCGGAGGTTGGAGGGATTTGGTTGAGATGCAGGTGCTGTGCTGCACCAGGTGGGGTTTGGGGTTTCTGTTTGTAATAATTGGATTTTAAGTCTCTTAAATTACGGCGGCTTCTGGTCCCAGTGTGGTGGCTCCAGTTCTGGGGCCAGGGTGGGTTAATCACAGAATCATGGAATGGTTTGGGTSRGAGGGACCTTAAAGCTCACCTTGTTCCACCCCCTGMCATGGGCAGGGACATTTTCCACCAGACCAGGTTGCTCCAAGCCCCGTCCAACCTGGCCTTGAAACCTCATCTCAAGATCTTTATCAGGAGACCTCATCCGAAGCTCTGGGATAAGGGGGTTCCTTGGGGCGGTCATCCATGGGAGCTCTCAAAGGTGGTCACCCATGGGTGCTGGTCAGCATGCTGTTGGGTTGAAGGGGGCTAAGGAAAGAAGGAGTCAGCCCCAAACCAATTTGGTTTGCTCACAAATGAAGGCTGTGACTCCCTCCTCACACCCCTGCAGCATGTGACCTTCTCCATGTGTCACATCCCTTGCTCCCTCCTGTTGGGGACAGTCCCTGCCCCTGCCAGGACCCCTGAGGGGGATGAGGGTCCCCCCCAAACACCAGCCACTGCTCAGCCCTCCCCCAGCCCTGTCAGCACCCCTTGCCTCAGTATCCCTGTGATGTTTCTGCATTTGGCTGCCCAAATTTCACCCCCTTGCTCAGAAATGGGTGCTCTGACCCCGCTGCACCCCATCAAGGGGAGAGGGCCCAGCCCAGGGCTGAAGCAGCCCTGAGAGCACAGCACTGATTTACAGCCGGGGAGAGGATCCCCCAGCCCAGTTGTGCATGAGAAATCCCTTTTCCATGTTTTTCCTCCAGAGAGGGGATGGTTTGGTTTGGTTTGGTTTGTAGGAGCCGCTGGACATGGTGTAACCACACAAAGTCCACGCACACGGACCCACCACGTCCCCTCCCCAGCCCTGCCTGGCTGTCCTGAGCTTCGGGTTGGTCTTCTGGGGATTTGKTTTTTTWAWTWWTWWTWWTTTTKRWTTTTTTTTTCTGCTGCCTATACAATGTAATTATCCATTTGCACTTGCTCCATCATTGCTTGAGACCGTGCTCTTGTCCTCCAATGTCATGCCCGAAGCACAAGAGAAAAAAAAAAGGGTATTGGATCAACCCTGCATGTGGTGCCTAATTTGAGCAAATCAATAGGAAGAGGAAATCCAAGAAGGACTCATCCTAAGGATGCTGGAGCTGAACCTTTTGTTTCCATGGTTACGGGAGAAATGGGACCAGGAACGGAGCGAGGCCTATAAACTGTTAAAGGAGGACTCGTGGGAATTTCAAGTCATTTAACCATGCGTTTGCTAGACACAACTTTAGACACCAGCTGGATCCCAATTGCACAGTGTTTATAGAAATTCCTGCTTTATTGGGGGCTGGGGGGGTGCGTGGGGAGGGGCTGGGGGTCCCCCGAGGCAATAAGGCTGCCCRTTGTACATAGGTATACAGAGCTGTGTACATACATCTCCAAATGAGCATTTGCTGTCTGGTTTATCATCAGTGTATATAATTTATTCTTCACAGAGTACCACGATTTTTTTGTAAATATCGGCACTAATTAAGAGAAAATAAATATGTATATTATTGAGGAGTTATTTTGATATCGGTTCTGTGGAGGGTGGGGGAGGAAGGAGACAAGTAATTATGTTTTTGATGTGTTTTTCTCGGTGATTAAACCCTCTGTGAGGAGAGAAAGGAACAGCCTGAACTGCGGGAAATTGGTTTGTGCTCCACCATCAYCCAGTCTGCAGGGGCAGAGCCCAAAAACATCTGGGAGGAGGAGCTGTTGGGTGTCAGTGATAGACATTGGACACCCTCCGTGGTGTGTATGGCATTCCCATGGGATTTGGTCCCAAAAAGCTCCAGCAGCAGCACCCGTGGAGGGGAAGGGGCTGGAATTGGGGTCAAGCCCATGTTCCCCAYGGTTCCCCACTTCTCCAGCTTGGGTATCGGCCACATCCACGCAGGTAATAGGGAATGGGTGCTGCTGTGGGATCACCCTGCTCTCGGAAAACTTGTGGGCACCCCGTGGATGTTTTTTTAACGCTCCTGATCTGCCTTGGAAAGGGAGAAGCAAACAGGGATGGTGCTGTGAGCGCATCATCTGTGGGGCTCCAAACCCCTGGAGATGTCTCCTGGCAGGACCTCTATAGGRAATGGGGTTGGGATCCTTGGGATGGTTCAGCTGTCCTTGCAGAGGGATGGTTGGTTTGTCCATCCCCAGGGAACCACCCTAAAGATATTTTCTCTTYCTGTTTCATCTCCTCTCCCCCGAGCATTTTGGGGCAGCAAAGGGCAAGGAGGGTCTTGGGGGCCCTTGGTTCCTGTGGTTTGGGGTTTGCCCGTTTGCTTGGTGGCTTCCACAGGCAACGGGGCTGCTCTGAGTGTCTCTTTTCACAAGGAGAACCCACTCTGTGCTCAGAGGATGGAGGAGAAACGCAAAAAGAGCAGAGATTCTCCTTCTCCCATGGATGGGTTGGTCCTGCTCGGCTCTGGGAGATGCCACCACCCCATAACCTGAGGGTTGGTGCAAATCTTCCTTCTCAACCACCCCAAATCCCCTCCTACTSGTCATGGAGGAGMCCCTGRTGTGAGCCCTGGTGTGGCYTTGGGTTCAAGTGTCACTGTGKGACTTRTGGGATGTCACATCCCMTTCTGTGCCTCAGTTTCCCTKGCTGCAGCACAGTTTGCTAAGCTGCACCCAGAAAACTGTAAATCCTAACTCAATATTATGACAGTGAAAATGCATAAATGGTGGGGCTGAATCCCTGGATGGGTCTTGTTGGGGGCACAGGGGGTGTTCAAGAGCAGCCAATTATGAACAGAATTATGTGCAGAAAACCATCAGAGTGCACAAAAAGTGACAGAAGTGTTTGTGAGCCGGGCACCCCGAGGGAAGTACCACAGCCTTTGCTGCAGAGCTGAGTGGGAGCAGCACCCAAACTGGGCCACTCTATGCTCCTCAGCCCCATTTCCGAGCCCAGGAGAAGCTCCAGACACCAAACCCCGTTTTTATCGGGGTCCTGTCGGTCGTGGGCTCAGCGATACCTGTGAGCACAAAGCGGTGCAAGGAGTTTGCAGCAGAGGYTGCTCTCTCTGCGGGCTCTCAGGGCGGCGGCGGCGAGGCTGCGAGGCAGACACGGTAATTGTTTTAAATCGCCGGGCTGCCAGCGTGCGGCACCAGCCCAGCCGCGCTGCGAGGACGCGGGAGATGCCATCAGGGCTGTGCATCCTCCTCCGGCCGAGCTGCTCGGGCTTTCAAACCGCCCAAAGGGGCCGGGAGAGGCTGGAACAGCCACCCATCCA